CCCTAATCCCAATCCCAATCCCAATCCCATTACAGCTGCCCAATTCCTCTCTTGGAAACTCCGAAAGGTCTTCTTCTCTTTCTCCATCTCATTTTGTTTTCCTCTTGATATTCTGTCACTGTCAGTAACGTTCTTAGGGTTTCTCCTTACTTGTTTTTTTAATGTAATTTCCTTTTTTTAATATCAATTGTTATTACCAATTGGGTATTAATCTGTTTTGATTTTGGGTCGTCCTTCTGTATGAAAATCTCAAATTTCATAGCAAATGAGAAATTGAGCCTTGTTTTTGTGGGTTTAATTTGTTAATAGCTGGTTTTTTTGGGGGGGAGATGTGGGGGATGGGTTTTCGGTTATTTTCATACAGTAATTATCATGTAATTAAGCTGAAGCAAGCAAGCACTCATAGCGGTGATCAAGAAAGAAAAGGGGAGAGTCCTCTACATCAATTGATTCTGCAATCGGCAAAATTGATTGCTTTTATTCCATTGGACCTCGGGTCTTGAGAGTCGGGATCAAGATCCCCTTCAATAATCACTTACCATTTATTAGTGAGGGACCACTTATGTATAATGAGTCCCACTTGAATTAATGGTAGATGATTTGCCATGGAGGAAATGGGTATTGGAATAGATCTCACCCAATAATCATCAAACGATGGTTCCATCACAAAGGCACAAAAGAATAAAGCAATTTCCGGGGATTGAAAGCTGATATTTTTGAACATGTATGTATAATTGATGACTTTAATACGATAACAAAGCTGAGTTAATATTTCATATGCTAGGTGGGAAATCAAGTGAGTAATATTATGTTGCAGTCGCATATAAAGGCTGTAAATTGAGGGAAAACCAAGTAAATTGGTTTAGACAGGTGCACTTCAGTCTAAAAATTGCGGTAGTGAGAACGAGGGACATGATTGCAACACTGGCTTGTCAACTTGGATTGTCTAGTCTAAAAGAATATGGTAACTTGCGGTTTAAGAAAGGTATAACTCTTGGAATCTTAGATAGAGCATATGGATGAAAGAGGATCCATGTAGCCAACCCCAATAGATTGCAGATTGCTTTTTCGAGACGATTTAGTATGTGAAATTATCTTGTGATCCAACATATTGTCCCTGTTGTTGCATTGCTTTAGATGAAGACAACTTGTGTTATACTGGAACAGACAAAATTCATGACAATGTAAAACAATTTTTGGTGTTATGTGAGATCTTATTTTAACGTTTTACTTCTAGTAAGGGGTCAAGAAAAAAAAGAAATGTGTTTTTATTTTGGTTGAGTCTTAGAGCATTGTATGGTGTATTTTCTGTCTCGTTCAAGAAAGTTGAGCCTTGATATTGTGGTTTTAATTTGTTTTCTAATATTAACTCTTATTCGGGCACACAATAGCTGGTTTGGGGGGACCTTTGGTGAATGGGTTTTGAATAACCCCTAGAATCCTATATAGAACAGATGGTTGAAATAAGACTCCTTTAGCCCATTTTTTGAGTTGAGTAACATGTGAAATCATCTTGTGATCAAACATATTGTTCCTGTTATGGCATTCCTTCAAATGACGGCTATGAATGTTTACTTGGAAGAGACAAAATTCATGACAGTGTAAACCCATTTTGGCATTAATTTAGATCTTATTTTAACTTTTGAATCGCAGCAAACATTTAATAAAAATAGAAATGTATCTTTATTTTGGTTGTTGGTCAAGGAAAATGTAGTTTTAGAGTGTATTTTGTAAAAAAGGAAGAAAGATTTGGACCTCTTTGCTCCTGTTTAGTGCTCTACGGTCACTCATCAGCCTAAAAACTGACAACAATTAGGGGATTGTGATGTAAAGTACACAATGAGAGTAGTCCTATGGAACTTGCAGGTACCTTTCGCAAACATTTATGTTCTACTTGATGATAAGTAAACCTTTAGCTTTTTACAACATGTAAAACCATCTGTTGTGGCCCTGCTTCCATGAAACTTTGGTCCATTGTTTGGTGTTCCTGTCTTGCTGTGGATGTCGCCTTTCTTGATGAGCAGCATTGTGGGGTACAAAATGGGCAGGAGCTTTTTTAACCAAATATTATGCATAAGGTCTGGCACTTCCCCTTGCTTGCATTGAAATTTTGGAGGTTTTAAATACATTTAATTATTTTCACTGTACGTCCTAGTGTGGGGAATGTTTCAAGTCGTAGGTGCACAATCATGTGGACATGGGAAATTAGGATACTGCAAACAGGCATTACTTATTAACCGTAGCGAAAAGAGTACTGGAACTTGATCCCACAGGCCTCACACGTGGGTATAGCTGGAAACTGTTTTACCACAGATCATCATTATACTTGATTGAATTTTAATTATTTTATGTTTCATTTTTTAATTCTCAAAAATTGGATTGTTTTAAATAACATAAATACTTTGTGCTTGATCATTGATGTGCACTTGGGGTTTGTCTTCATTCTTCTTGCTATAGTTCCTTTCATCCTTGTTTTCCTCTTTTAGTTGAGAACTTCCAAAGAACTTCAAATTGTATCTGATTCTAAAAAGAAGAAAAAAGTGATACCAGTGTTTGTAACTGCTTGCAAAGTGACAGAAAGGGCACAAGAGTCTAATTTAGCTGGGAAAATGAATAAAATAACTTCATTCATTCTGCTTAAGTTTGTTCAAGTCAAAGAGCCATGAAGTATGGTGTTGTGTTGGTGTGTTTGAAGGGATGGGACTAGAGACAGATGTAACGTTTGGTATTATCCACACAAAGTGACTGTCCTTAGATTTGCATCTATGAGTTTATGCTTCTTAGCCCAATAACTTGACTACTGCAACAGGCAATGGTCCCTTTTGCATGGTGTCGTTTTCAAGGGTGAAATAAGCTGAACAAAGAAGACAACTTTTAAGTCTCAAAATCTTTTTTGAGGGAAACTTATTTTATTAATAAAAAGGTGTAGTACAAAATGAGAGCAAAGGCTCCTGCCATTTTGCAAAACAACAAAAAAGCACTACATAAAAACAGATTTGATTCCATAAACCTTTAACCACCTCGCACTTATCCTAAAAAAATCTAGCATTCTAGCCTTTCTCTCCAACCAAATCTTCCAAATTGTGGCAACGTTGCACATTCCCAAAAAAAAATGTACTTTTAGGTACAAAAATTAACATAAGAAACTATGAAATCTAATTTTGATGTGGGCTACTATGAAATCTTCAGTGTTGGATGTCATAAATCTTATAAGCAAAGCAGCATATTGGATTGGTGTGGCGATTTCCTGCTCTATCAATAAGTCATGATGCTTCCCTTGTATAGCATTCTTAGTAATAAGAACTTAATCATGTTTTGTAGGATGCTGATGCATCAGCTAAAAAAGCTGAAGAGTCAAGGAAGCGTGCAGAGGATATTGCTGCAGGAGAAGTGCAAATGAATGGCCGAGAACTTTTCTTGCATGAGCCATGGGTGTTTGACAATACCCGTTATTGAGGTTGGTTGCATTACAACATGGGCGGAGCCAGAAAATGTTCTTGGGTGGACACTCTTAACATGTTTTATCCTAATCGATAAGAGTATAATGATACATTTATACTATTTATGATACTGAAAAATTCTATACATATATGTGGAAAATAGAAAAGAGACTAATTATAGTCTTTTATTGAAAATGAGGTTTATTTAAAAAAAAAAATATTATGACCTCAACATATCCACACTTATCCGGATATATGTTTGAAGTGTGTCCATAAATAGTTATTTAGTACGAGTCTGTACCAATTAATATGATAAGAAAAATATAGGGTGGGCTTAATTAGATATACTTCAAAAATATAATAATAAATAACAAGGCAAAAAATTTGAAGGTGGGCGTGGGCATGTGCTCACCCTGGTCCTTGAATGGCTCCGCCACTGTATTAGAAGAATGTGATTCAATACAAGTTTTGGTACTTGCATAAACAGCAAGATTCATGTGTTCCAAGCGCTGTGCATGGCATAGCTTTATCTTAAAATGTGATTTCCCCTCTTGATTCATGTGGTTTCAATGCAGGTTGGTACTTAGGCTGAAATTGTAGCTGCAGCAATGGCATCAGATGAAAGGGAAAAACGAATGAAACTTGTGGAAGTAATTCCAAAAATTTTATGTTGCACATGGTCGATAAATCAATTTGTACTCTGTTTCTAGAGCTTGTCGCTTCTTTAATTGATCTGAATCATGATGGCTTTTGTCGTGTACTTGTGGAAACTGTTGAAACACAATAACATATATCACTGAACAGATTTTTGGTGAAGGGTTGATGAAGTTAGATGCTGTCTTGTTCCAGATGAAGGTTTTATGTTTTTTGCTACCCTAGCTATTTGGTCTTTTTAAGAAATCCCCGTTGTTTGAGCACTTGTTAAGGTTTTGTGCCTCTCTTTTAAAGCTTTTACTCCAGCATTTTCAGTGATGCTGCTAGTGACTGAAATAGGAGTGTTCATCAAATCGCCAATGAGCAGATGCCCCAACTGTCCTCTGCACCGGGTGCAGATTAGGATCCATCCTGTTTCAATCTAATCCTAACATGCTCCTGCTTATACTGCACTTGGAAAAATATTTGATAATCCACATGGTTGCCTAGTGGTGTAAAGTTAACTCTGGGAAGATTCGACCCTCCTTTGTGGCTTCTGAATTTAATTGACATATGTTATTAGTGGGTGATTTTAGGTATCTCGAGTTTAATCTTAGGTGGGAGTCCAAGGAGGCCCTGGGGTTTCTGTCATATGTACGTGTGTGATGATCCCACCCTTTTCGGAAAAATTTTGGAGGAGAGGGGGGAGGATCTAGCCATCTGTGCTGGTTGACGACTGCCCATTGCCCAACCAGAATTATTCAATACTTTGAATCACTGTGCTACTGTTTCTTTCTACCAGAATGTATCAGTTTTATTCCATTGAAAGTACAAAACTTTGTAACTGTACAAATTACATTGCAGCCCTAATTAAAAAAAAACAAAAACAAAAACAAAAACAAAAAAAAAATTTGAGAGTTTCTACATCTACATGATAGAGCAGGCATTTGGATTCTCATCACTGAACATGAGGGAATATTGTTCTTCAACTGGATTCAAATGTGCAATGGCAGGATCCTCTGTCTTTCTGACAAGGTTTGGAGGTGCCTTCTTGTCATAAACCTGTGCAACATAAGGATGAGCCACTAGATTGTATGGAACATAAGGCCATGGTTCAGCCTTTTTCCCAGTTGACTTAGCTGCCTTCAACACTTTTTTGACATCAACATACCCAGTTACAGTGGCCTTTTGCTGCTTCAAGTCCACATCAACAGATTTCACTCCTGCTCCACCAAATATAAAACAACAGCAACATGAGTATATACTACTACTTTTTAATTGATGACCCAATCCTACATCATTTGGTGAAATTTCTATTTTATATTTGATATTCTTTAACTTTGGACTTTTATTATTCAACGTCTTTCAAATTCGTACACATGTAGCTCAAAGCAGAAAATACCATGCACTGTGGGTCCTAAGTGTTACAGATGACATCAAAGCCATTGCCCATGACTTGATCAGTGACAACTAGCATGGTGGGAGTCGTTCGTCGTAAACCCATATCACCTAGATTAGGGTGAGTCTCAAACGAGAATATTTAGATCTAAAGAGGTGGATCTTGGGTGTTGTGTTTAAAAACCTTGAGCTAGAGACCTCTGTTGTATAACACGTTTTAAAACTGAGTGGATGTCATCCAAAACGAACAATATTCTACAGTAACAGTGAGGGACATTACAATAACCATGCATAAAGCACCCAGAACTGAAGAGGTGACAGAGAAGCAGCAAATAATACCTTTGAGTGAAGAGAGAGTTTTCTCGACTTTGAGCACACAACCTTCACAGTCCATCCTGATTTTGAGAGACACAGTATTTAACTGCTTCCTTTTCTTACCCTTCTTGCCACTGCTGATTAATTCAGACAAGTACTCCATGGTCCCAGCAACTCCCATTTCTCTTCCTTGGTACTAACTTTAGGATATATTGATGTTTTGCTCACTTACCAACTAAACTCGCCGATTGGTTAAACTTGGAGATGAAAATCTTCTTTTGTATCTCGACGGTGGATTGAAAAGTAATGCAAGAGAAGGTTAAAGAGAAGAGAGGCTTATGGTTTGTGTTGGTAGTTGGATACAAATCAACATATACATATAGATACCAGGGCTGGTAAAGGCCAGGAAACTTCTCTTTAAGTTTAACCTGTCAGATTCCTTCCTTAGCTCCGAAAAGGCCCAAAGCCACATAGTTAAAGTCATCTCTCTTGATTCTAATTCTACAAGAATTTATAGAATACCTGATAAAAAATTGACATGTGACATATATTTATAGTCTTTAGACAATATATGAAATGCGGGTGTGATGTGAGTTGCTTGCATTTGACACTAAATTGATTCGTTTATCACGGCTGCAAACTGATCGTATTAATATCAAATTTGTATTGAAAATTAATGGGTTAATTCACTAGAGGTCTCCAAATTACGAGGTTTGTCTTATTTTAGTCCTTAATGTTTCAATTGAATTATTTTGATCCCTAAAGTATTGAATATTTTTATATATAGTCTTTCAAACAGACAACGTCTAAATTGCTAACAATTTTTTATCATAAACTTGTCACATAATACTTAAATATAGTTAAAAAATAATTTTGATATCTCTTAAATAAAATTTGGGTAGCTTTTGACAAAAATGTGTAATAAGGATAACTTTTAACCAAAATTTGGGTAGTTCTTGATCAAAATTGTGTAATTTGGATGAATAGAAATTTGGTCTAAAATTATCTAAATTATTTTTTTGTCTATATTTAAATATCATGTGACAAGTTTATGATAACAAATCGTTACTAATCTAGACGTTGTCTGTTTGAGGGTCTATATAAAAATATATTCAATATTTCATGGACTAAAATGAGACAAACATCATATTTTAGGGACTTTCAATACAATTAACCCAAAATTAATCAATCTAAATGGATTGGGTTGATAGGTTTGAAGCGTGCTATTAAAATTTACCATCTTTAATTTGAATTTTAATGTATGTGTGGAAAATAATCTTCAAAAGAGAATTTCATGCTTGGAGTACAAGAAAGATGAAAGTAAACAGTTTGACCTTTATGAATTACAAAAATTAGAAATAGACCCTTCTAAAGTTTGAAGGAAAAGATTGTCATCAAGGAAGCTACAATAGCTTTCTTCGGATTAACTGCCTTCAACATTGAAAGATATCTTCATGACACGTGGACAGACAACGATATCGGGCACCACGTGGCAATTTAGATTCAAGTGGAGATGGAAGCTTAAAGGGTGTCGTTAATTTCTTGGGGGTTGTCCACTTGTGAAGAGTTTGGGTTTCGATTGGGCGGTGGGTTGTGGAAAAGGGTAGAGATAGAGAGAGTGGGCAGGTGAGAAGGGCGGCAGCTATCTAGGAGATTGAGTGCTTCAAGGCACCGTCTTTCTGAATCTATCCACTTGGTCTTGGCAACTTTCATGAGAGTAGTGATGGAATTAAGTTAACCAATCAAAATTGTACAGAACCAACCCATCGGTTTCTTTGTGGGTAACCACGTGTCAAATGGGTTAAACAAATTAATCATACATAGTTTAAAATTCTGAAAAAATAGCTTTAAGGTACTCGGGTTTGATTAATATAAAACTTAACTCGAGTTTAGCAAATTTTTAGATTCATTTAAAAAGCTGAGCCTTAAACGACTCAGCTTGAACTTGCAAAACTTAACTCGTTTATAAGTAGAATAGCTCAGATTCGACTCAAATTCGACTCGTTTTTTGTTAGACTCAAACTCAACTTATTTTTGAAATGAATCGAGTTTAAATAGTTATTTAAACTCATTTAGAAAATAAGTTTGCCAAGTTCGATTCAATTATCAGCCCTAACTTCAGTTAATGAGTTAAAAAATTCAGAATAGGTAAAATAAGAGAAAATAAAGCTAATATTCAGTCTTTAAAGAAAGCAAATTTTTAGTCTTTAAAGAAAACTAATTTTTAGTCATTAAGTCTTTAAATACTAGTTGATGCATACTACGTTGTACGTGGATCATTCTTAACTACTGTTTTAGATTTTTTTTGTAGTTAGCAAAAAGTAACCCTTTGTTAGGACAAGAAATTTATACCCATAACATTACAAATAAATTAAAATATCTTACAATAACATTTTTTAAAACATGCCTGTTTATATTATATGGTTTGATGGTGGCTAAATTATTTATATAATAAAATAGTTAGGTTGTTTGTCTTAAACTTTTCACGGCCTAGATCATTTTGATCTGATTGTCTTAATTTGACTTTTATTCTTTATACAACTTTAAGACTCTCATTTCTTATATATCTCTCTTTCTCACGTTATTATTTTTTTTTTGGTTTCTCCTGTATTTTTTTATATTATTTACTCTCATAAAACAGATGAAACTATATGTTATACAATTATTTATTCCATGAAACTAATTAAAAGTTTTTATATATTTGATGACATGTAAATAACACTTAATGTAAATAAAAAATAAACACTAAATAATATTCAATACGAAATGAACCTTAAATTATAAATTAATATATAATATTATTAAAAATTGATATTTAATTTTGTCTAATTTATGTTCAATTTTTTCGAATTAATATCAAATTAATTTTTATTATTGAAATTTATTTAATCATTTTTTTGGATTACTAAATTATATCAATTTTTTACTAAATCAAATTTTATTTAATTCTATTAATTTTTGGTACTAAATCTGGAGAAGGATAATTGTAAAAATAATATTTTTTTGGGGGATGAAATTATTAATTTTCATTAGCAAGATTAACGGAAGAGAGACAGAGAGGGTATCCATGCAATTAATTGCAAACCTCAAGGGGTGTTTGTGTTATTTATAAAATACCAAGAGGTATCCGTATAATATTGTCAAAACTCAGGGGATGCTCTTGATTTTTACCCTTTTTTTTAATTAAACATTAATTTATTATTATTTTATCTCAAATTTGAATTATTTTATTTCTAATAAAAACAGTTATTGGTTAGAAGGATTTGTTAGTAATCAAAAAAGAAATGTATGTTGGTGTTCATCTGTGTATATTTATATGTGAAGGATTGAACATTTAGTAATTAAATTTATAATTATATTGTATCATTTGGGGTTGAATGATGGTAGTGGTAATAAATTCATGAGTTTTATCAATGAGTAAGATTTGATTGATTATATTTGTCACTTAAAGATTGTGAATTTAATTATGTTCTGTTAGTATTTTTTTTATTTTTTTGCTTGAGGTATTTATTACATGGGAATAAGGTGGGTTGAAAATATGGTGGTTGAATTTATAATTATGTTGTGTTATTAGATTGAGTGGTAGTAGAAGTGCTAAATTCGTGAGTCTTATAAATGAGTAAGATTTTATTTATTACTTAAAAATTATAAATTTTAATTAGTTATGTTAGTATTATTTTTTTTTCAAAGTCATTTGTATATGTAGCGATGTTTTTGAAGAGTTTTTATTATTTTTATGATAGTTCCATTAATATGAAAGATATGATTGACGATATATTTCGAGTAATTTTAAAGAAGAATTATTACGAATATTTTTAGGTCATTCTTTTTTAATTTGGATAATTATTTAAAAAAATTTTATTTGTTGTATAGAGTCTTCAAGAATAGATAATGACTAATACTTTTATATGGTTTCAGTGGTCAGAAGTTGAAATAAACAATTTTTTTAAAAAAAGAACTCAAGGTGAAGATAGACATAAAAACTTATACGTAATTAAGAACCTATGAGATAAATATTTTATGAGTTGAAAAGGATTTGTAAGTCAAAGGATCTAATACGAGTTCTAAATTTTGTGATTTAATATGATATCGAAGAAATATGAAAGTTAAAATCAAAAGATGGGTTAAGATATGATTGACTTTGTATAATTGGTTGAACATAAAACATGAAATCAAAAGTTTTTTTCAATTATTGATTTATAAGAGTATATATATATATATATATATATTATTTTTATTTGGCCTAAACTTTTTTACAGACCCTTCTCATACTAATAGTAAAATTTTATATCTTGTGCAATAATCCAAAAAATTTGAACTACAAGAGAACCAAGGGAATGTGATATACTATATCAAATTACTAGTTATTGTCTGTGCTTGAAGGCACAGAGTAATAAAAAATAGTAAACAATAAAAATATTTGTATTAATATCCAAAATTAAATCACAAACATAGAGAAGAGATAAATGAATTTAAGCATCGGTTTGTAGTGAGGGTGAGAGGTGGTGGACAGCAGTGGTAGTGATAAGAGACAGTAATGATTGTGGTGGATGACAATGTTCGTGGTGGCGTTGAGGGCGACGACAGTGGCAATGGTGGTGATAGTGGCAGTGGCGGTAGTGGTAGTGGCGTGGCGATGGCGGCGGCGGTGGCGGCGACGGTGATGGTGGTGGCGGCGGTGGTAGAGGTAGTGGTAAGACAATTTCAACCACTATTTTTTTTTAAAGTGTTTATGAGATAATTTTTAAAAGTACTTTTAAAAAATCACTCAAAACACACTCTTACGGTCATATTTTTCTTATTAAATTTAGGGTGTTAATATTAGCCGTTATATTAATTTTAAAGTAAAACTTAAAACGATCTCAACTGCGAATAACAAAAGTTATTTTGTTCATCTTTTGAGATTTAAATTGTAAGCTACTTTATTATATAGATAATAAATGAAAGTAGGCAAATAACATTATATTTCACCTATCCTATTAAATTTTCTCTGAGCTCGAAGGAATAATCAGCACAAGCCTAGACACCCTGTTACCAAAAAAAAAAAACAAAGGCTTGGACCCATAAATTCTACAAACCTAAGAAAATTGTAAATATAATTCTTCATCTATTATTTATATCCATACCACCATTTCATTTCTCAATCATGCAAAAAAAAAAAAAACCTTTTAACTAACCAAATTATCTCAATACTTAAACTACATAAGTTTGCATATAGGCAAATCCAATTAAAACCCATCAGTCCTATAAAATTGCAAAATAACTTAAAGTATACAATACACGAAAAGAAAGAAAACAACAAAGTGAAAGAAGTTTTCACTACTCAACTAAGAATTTTTTTAAAAATCATTTGATCAAATGGTTGCACTGCTAAACTCATTGATATATAATGGTAGTGTTGATCCCACTTTTACATATTTAAGATTTTTTTATTATTGTAATGTTATATCATGGTCACTATTTTTTGGTCAATTAACATTACTCGTCATATTAATATTACAATAAACTTGCATAGGAAAAGTTGCCTAAAATAGGTTGCCATGGACCAAGAGTACTATCATAACGCCCAACTTTGTTACCGACATGTATAACCAAATGGTGACCATAATTAGGTTGGTGTTTAGAAAGAAGTATTCCTATTACTTAGAAATTTTGTATTGACTTCGTTACGTCTTCGATATCCATAATAGATGTCCACAAACAAGCTTTTACAATGACATAGAAACTAATTTGGTTTCATAACATGCATGCAACGGATAGATGTAGAATAGTACTATGAATAGAAGAACCGACACAAATTTTGGAGGATAAAAATAGAAGAAAGGGGATAGCTGTCAAACACTTCAACCAGTATGTTCTTTCGTATTCCATCAGCCCCATCAATTTTTCTATGCGTGGAAATGATATTTGACCCTATCATACAAAACTCCAAGTGCAAATTAATCTATATGCACTTTAACCAGCCAAATCAACTTATGGTGATGGGTTTCTTTGCCCTTCCACATGCAAAAGCATTGCGATATGCCAAAAAAGAGAACTCTATGAAAAATGACAGAGAAAGTGTCCATAACCACCAACAAACTCCTCATTGAGATTAGTACCTTGTTGAAAATATAGATCTTTGATCAACAGACACCTTCATAAAAAACCATGCTTACAATTGATTAGTCACAAAGAAAACAAATCGCAGGTTTCACATACTGCAGTAGTATTTTGTTTAGAATATCTATACTACTTCTAAACAAAATTAATTTATTGCAGTTATTATTTTAGTTGGAAATTGTAATATTTTGTTTATTATGATAGAAAAGTAAAAAGATGAAAAAATAAAAGGATGAAAAATTTGAAAGATAAATAAAACGTCAATTTTTTTTTTTTTTTTTGTATTACCAAAGGTCATGAAATTCAAGGGCAATTTCTGTGAGGCTTCGTTTTTGGCCTCAAACCCGCCTAGAACTACCACGGAGCACCTCAAAGAAAGGGACTTGCCCCAACTTCACCTGTTTTGTAACCCATTTCGTCATCTTCACCGTCTCCATTATCCCCTCTATCTTCGCCTTCTTTGCATAACCATTGAAAAAGAAGTTCACAACAAGCCGGCACGTTTTCAAGTTCACACCCAATTTATGGCATGATATGGTGATTCGCAATTTTGTGGCGATATGAGCTATTCACATGCCCAAATTGTCACAAACACCAGTGACACATACGGGTTTAAATCAACAGAAACGAGTGTTATCGGGTGGAAGAGAGGGTGCATTGGCAATGTTAGAAGACAGTGTGAAAAGGCTTAAAACTACTTTTTGTTATGTGATATTTATACTTTTTATTCGGTGCTTATGTTAGAATATTTCAACTAAAAGACTGTATTTTATATGTGGAAATTCAATCTCACATTGACTAAATATTCAAAAATATTTGAGTATATATATATATACTAGTGTTATCTAGCTTTTGAGTTAAAGAGAGATATTGAAACTCTCACGTGCGAAAGTGTGAGACTAACGGAAGAGATGCAGACATATATACGGTGTGCCTAGTCCACGTCCTGTCCCCTTGACTCGCCTAAATCAAATACAACATTAACTTATATATATATAATTAAACAAAATATTAAAAAGTGGGTTTAATACTAAGTTTCCGGGCAATATTCAAAGGTGTGTGTGAAACTTTTGCTTCATTTGATTGTACAGATCTGAGTAAAACAACAGTCAATAGGTTGGACTATTGTATCCTGAGGACAATACAACATTAACTTATATATATATAATTAAACAAAATATTAAAAAGTGGGTTTAATACTAAGTTTCTGGGCAATATTCAAAGGTGTGTGTGAAGCTTTTGCTTCATTTGATTGTACAGATCTGAGTAAAACAACAGTCAATAGATTGGACTATTGTATCCTGAGGACAATGTGTTATTACCTTGTATCTTGGGGACAACGCGTTACTACCTTCTGCGCTGTGATTCTTTCATAAAAGGGCATAAATTGTCTTAAGAGAGCGATCTAGTCCGCGCCTTACCCTGCCGTTCACTTTATTTGCATCCAATTTTTTCCAACAACTTAAGTTTATATGTTATGCACAAATGGTATTGAATGAAACGGATAAATTAAAATTCAATCACAATCACGTAGAATTTGAATGATGACAATTGACAATAATAATGAAATTTATTGCCACTATCACTATCACTATTTAATTCCATAGAATTTGGACAATAATATTTGCCATTGTGTCATTATTATTATCACTGTCCATTTCGTAATATCACTAATCACATCATTAATGGTAAAATAGTAATTATGATTGTAATTGTCCTTGATGACCCTAAAAGAATTACGTCTGACAATAACAATAAAAATTAATTATCGTTGCAAATGTTACTGTCTCAATATTACTGTCTCGTGTTGCTTTTATTGTTATTGTCTCGTTGTTACTATTGCTGTGTTGTTGTTGCGGTCCATTTCGTAATATAATTATTTATGTCATTAAAGATAAAATAGTCTTTATACCTTTAATTGTCATTTAAGTCCCAAAACATGAACTAATTGTCCTAAAAGTCCACAGCTGTAGATTGGCCTCCAATTAACCCTAATTCATATGGTTGTTTGACATCATCTGTAGACGTCTCTTTGGGCCGGTCTAGAAGCCCATCTGAAGAAAGTCCACACACTCCAATTCCAGTCTCGACCCAGTGAGCCCAAAATGATTGTCCCACGCTCACACAATAAACCCTAATTCACCTCATATTCCCCCAAGCCACGCGTTCTCTCCCTCCCTCCCTCTCGTCCCGCAAGTCGGCCGCAAGTATTTGCAACTGTGTTAGGGTTCCGATTCAATGGCGGCCGGCAAGAAGACGGTCTCTCTCTCTCTCTAAAACTATATGTATAGTGTCGAGTTGGAAATGGAATATGATTTGATTTGGTTTTGTGATATTTATTTTGCAGAAGAAGACTCATGAGAGTATCAACAACAGGCTCGCTCTCGTGATGAAGAGCGGCAAGTACACTCTGGGTTACAAAACTGTGCTCAAGTCCCTCAGGACCTCCAAAGGTACTATTCAATGATCTATCTGATCTGTTGATCGAGTCATTTAGTGATCTTGTAAGACAGAGAAAAAGTGGTTTTCATTCGACTTTTTTTCTAGTTTGTGCTTTCAATTAAATTGTGTTTGAGGGGGTTTTGTGGTGTGGAATTGCAGGGAAGCTGATAATAATTTCTAACAATTGCCCACCGCTGAGGAAATCTGAGATCGAGTACTATGCTATGCTTGCGAAGGTTGGGGTGCACCATTACAACGGAAGTAAGTGTTCCAATACTGTCTCACCACCAAATTACGATCTTGTAGTGTTTGCACACAATTGTAGTGTCTACAAACGCATTATTTTTTAGCACGCAATGCTTATAAGGCAATTTTGATGGGCAAATTTGAGAGTGAATTGGATATGCTCAGATGAGATGTTGGGATGTCATAGGTGATAAATAGGTTTACGTACACGCATGAAGGCAACTATACCCTGAAGTGGAGTCCTGATTTGGAACATGGAGTGAAAATACATGATACCTGTAATTATTAGAAGAAGTTTGGGATGCTTGGGACTGATAGAAGAGTGGGTTTTTTTTATATGTTCCAATGCTTGACCGATTAATTGCTTTGTTCCTGAGGATGTGGCTTACATCAGTGGTTATTTGCTTATAGTATATATGGGATTTACTGTATTTCATGTTTTAATTTAAGAGAATATGGCTAGTTGCCAGTTAATTGGGGCAACTTAATATGATTAAGTATAGAGGGAGTTGAACAGAATGTTAGAATTCAGATGTAATAGAAAAATATGCTGGGCTAAATTATCTTCTATATTGTTGGCTGCTGATTGACGTTGAATAGGCGTCTCTCTGCCCCATAGGTCATACCCTTGTTGATGGTGAAATAGTCGTTCTTGTGCAATTGTAAATGTTGCCCTTGCACCCCCTGAGGCCCAAATAACCACCATGAGGTTTCCTGTTTTAAGTAGTTAGTGTTTATTAATATGGTCACTAGTTCTGTCAGATAACGGCTGACAAATTCGACCATTGCAGCTGGTTCTGTTTAAATGCTGAAAGGTTAAGGTTCTTCATGGAAAATAAAGATGCTTATAAACTATGAACTACAAAAGGAAATGATGGTCATGGTGATGAGCTACATGGCTGCGTGTGCATGTGCTGAAGGAGGAATAACTTCAATGGTTTTTTTGCTTATTTGGAAGGCGAAGCTAACCACTCAAATATTTAAGATTTATGTGCGACATGTGTCCTGATGGCCATCTATAGTTATTAACCATGTTATTGTTATTATTCCTTCTCATGGTATTGTGCATGGATTTTTTATTTTTATGCCTTCGTTTGATGGTGACTTTACCCTTTACTGATTTTTCACACATATAATTAACTTTTTTTGCTGGTACTGCCTGTTGCCAATTTGATGTTCTTATCAAAAAATTAGATGTACCCATTTAGACTATACATGCTAGTGATGGGAAGTTGCAGTTGCTTCTTCATCACTTCCATTTTTTTTGGAAATAATGGAAAAGAAATTATTGCTGAAGGATTTGGCGTTGATTGGTATCGCTTACTCTCTGACCCAATATTTGATTAACGATTTCTGTCTGGAAATTTATAAAACCCAATCAGATTTTTTTTATTGTTCTTTAATACCTCGGCTTCTTTTTTTTGTGCCTTTTTGTTGTACATATAGATAATGTTGATCTGGGAACAGCATGTGGCAAGTATTATCGTGTGTCATGCCTAAGCATCGTTGATCCAGGTATCACAAATTATGTTTCTGATATTAAGCTTGTCTCTGTCTGACCAACCATTGTCTAAATGGACTGGCTGACTTGTTTTGCTACTAATGCTTCAGGTGACTCGGATATCATCAAGTCGCTGCCTGGAGATCAGTGAGAGGTTAGCAGCATAAAGCAAAGTGAAATCTAGTTTTCTTAGGCTTGTGATTAAAACTTGCATTCTTGTTTGTTGCAGTGCTCTTGTATTAGGAAATACTGTTTTTATTTATGAGCCTGCAGAAGGGCCGGATATTTCTGCTTTTGTGTTTTATTACTCGAGTTTGATCTTGATAATGGTTCCATCAGTCATTAATTAAGCTCTACAAACACATTTTCGTTTCAGTTCCCATTACATTTCGAGCATATATATTCTGCTAATCGTCTACTTTCTGCACCATTGCACAACTATTGTACCGTATCGAAGTGAATCATCCTTTGGCCTTCTTGTAATGCTCGAGGTAATTTGCTGCGTTTTGTATTGTTAAATGAACACTTGAGCCATCATAAAAATCCAACATTGTTCTTGTACGTTGCTCGATTGTGGTAGCTTTAAATTTACCTGGTATTTTTGTGTATTGACCGAGACCTTTCTACGATCTTATATATAGTTTACTCATTCCCATTTTGTGTTTCTAGGGAAAAGTTATATGCAGCCTACAGATGATTCAGTATTGACCTTAAAAGTTTGTCAGAGTTATAAGCCTGAACTTTGAACAGACAATCGGTACAATAAAGGAAAAGAGAAAAAAAAAAGGGGGGGGGGGGGGGGGGGGGGGTTTTATTTAGGCGGAAAGTGTTATGTTTATCAAAAAAAATTTATCAAATATTCTATACCAAATGATGTGACACAATTTTCGTCATTAAACATTAATGGGATTTACTTATTTGATAGTAAAAAATTGTCACATTATTGGAGATGGAGATTTGGTAAAAAAATTTGGTAACTATAGTATAAAACTCGTCAATTAAATGGGTGTAAATTATAAAATTAAATATGACTCATGTATTAATAAAAGATTTCAACTCTGTGCAATTTATTAAATAGGTAATCGGGTGAAAATGACTTGTTTATTACAGAGGTTCATTTGTTTGTTATCCAAATTTATTAAAACTAAATTTCAATTTGTTAACTTCGTGTCGAGTAATCTGATCGTGTGTGAATTTTGCAAGTCTAGGTATCTTATTTCAAGCTGAAATGGTATCACAATCATGCTCCTTTGTTCAATACATGACAAAGCATTCGTTCATTCAACCTAACATAAAAACTATGATCAATATTAGAGAATCTGCAGGTGTAAGTGAAGTGACTTTTATCCTTCATATTGTGCTGCTTCAGGAGGAAGCCTAAAGCCATTAGCTTGAAGAGCCTTTGGGCAAGTCTTTAACTATCTTGTACATCTATACACTTTGAAACTAAAATTATTAATTTACCAAATAAAACCTCAAGCTCAATTTCAGAGAGTTTGTAGAAAGTGGCGAAGGGGATGGTACAAAATATTTCCGACAAAACGAGTTGGAAAAATACAAATTCTCATAGACATCCAAGAAACTTTAAGAAAACATTTGTAACGTTCTGAAAATGATCCACATCAGGACTACAAAAGGACTTTTTTTTTTTTCAAAATTCAAATCTCAAATTTGAATTTTAATTGCGCATTGTCATACACAGAAAAATTTATGGGGGTAATCTAAATAAAGAGGAAATGCACTTGAGTTTAATCCCTAAAATTGAATCAAATAAATTAACTGAACCTTAAACTCAAGTGGTAACAAGAACAAGTTATAAATTCAGAAGTCTTGAATTTTAATATTGGCGACTCTGTAAGATCAGACCATGGAAAATATATCCCTCATGAATACTATAGTTTCGACATGAAAGATATGTCTTTGATCAGATCGGAGAAGAGATTAGTTGAGGTGCACGTTAGTTGACTCAAACACCTTTGATCATTAAACTAAAAAAATAAATAAATAATTAATTAATTTATCATTTATATAGTTTTACCCTTACAACAAAAATTCTAACAAAGTAGGTAGTAATAGTATCAACCACGTCAATAAACAACTACCATGAATATAATGACACTAGTACAATACCCTATCCCTCATTATTTTTGATTCGTGTCGATAAACAATTATTTAATTATAAAACAACTCTTGAATATCAATTTTTTTATTTAAATTATTAGCTAATTTTGTTATTTGTGGATAACCTTAATTTGATCCATCTAATGTTCGTATCATTTTCGAGATTTGTATTGTTTCATTTTCATGTTATGCTTTTGACCATGTCACCCGTTAAAATAGACACACCTACCTGCGGAGCCCTTACACTTAAAAAAAAAATTCAAAAGTCAAGTATGGGTGAGAGAACATGAATTAGAAACAACCCCCCCCCCCCCCCTCCCCCGGCCCGAAGATTTATAGTATTAAAAGATGGATTATAGAATCATAACATATTAAAAAAATTTAATCTAACCTTATATTACATTTAGTTACAAAAAACACTATGTATCATATATAATCTTTATTTATCCAAATAATACAGTAATACACTATATCCGTACTTTGAGCCGATTATAGATGGTATTATAGTCCAGTTCAAATATATTAAGTTATAAATTTATTATTTTATCAACCAAATAAACAAAAACATTAATAACTAAACAAGATTGATGATTTTTTGATTGATACGTAGTATAATAGATGCGAACATGACAAAACACAAACTTGCTCAACAATAATATTATTTGGATCTAAAATACTAACTTGATTTGTTGACTTAATCTGTTACAAACATTGAATTGGTAGTAAGTCTCAACTAATACTGAGAACTACGATCAACTTTATGACAGCGATTAATTAGATCAAGATTGTCGACAATCTTTACTTTGGTATTGCATGTGGAAAATGCATTAGCGTCCAACAAGTAATTGCAGCTGAAAAACTATTTTGAGTTCAGCTAAGTAGTCTTGTGATCCCATGTTCTGGCTTTGTTTCCGGCAGAAGTTGCCATTGGCTTGATTTTCTTGAATATCCAGGAGAAACAGCCACCGGAAATCCTATCTTCGCCGCCAATCACTTCTTTCTCTTCTCTTTCCTTTTCCATTTCCATCGCCATCTTCTCCTTGTGGAGTTTCCGCATCACATAAACTTCCGCATTACCAGGTCCAACCGATGTCATGGTGAAATTGTCGGTGCACGAGCTTTCTAATCACTGTAGATGAATTTATCGAGTGTCAGAGGCTCACTAGCCTAGAATAACTGTTTCTATGACACAAGCCCGTGATACCAAAATATCAATGTAGAGACCTTTCTCTTCGGACCTTACTTGTTTGATGCTTGTACAAGGGTTTGCCTTGAAAGGGTTATTTATAATATGTGTACAAATTTGACTGCTTGGGGAGGAAGGAAGCTGTTAGTGAGACCCTTTTGACTGTTTTATTTTTTTTTTGATATCTCATATGTACTAATAGATTACTTTATTAATACCCTGGTCATGCACTTAGACTAATGATGGACTTTGTGTCATGGACGGAGCTATACACGGATGAGGGTGGGCACGGGCTCATCCTTAATTGTTTTTTTAAAAAAATATTATATAAATATTTATATTTATATATTCTAAAAATTATACATATATTTTTTATTTATAGCCACCTTATAATTTTTTTATTCCAATTGTTTAGTCTTTTTTATTGTATTAAAATTTTCTCAAAATGACTGTAATGTTATTATTTTTGACTTTTTGCAAGAGAAAGTTCTTGCAATTGACCTTCGTTTGATTTTTATTTTTTATTTTACAAGAAATCTTCTCTATTTCTATTTGAGTATTGATTATAGTATTTATTATGTGTCAATTAATTTTTAATTTTTTTATTATGTTCAGCTCTTAAATTTTAGTTTAGTAGTTTTACTATTCTAATAGCTCAGTAATGATATTTGGAACATCATTTATTGAATAAATTTAATGAATTGTTAATGAATAACGGAATAGTTTTTTAATTACAAAAATGACAATTAGCCCAACTTTTTTATAATAGTGATAATTAGTCATTATTTATACATATATAATATACATTATTTTTTGACCTTTTTTTTAATGTTAAATGGACTTCATGTATTAAATATGATTTAATAAATATAAATATATTATAGTGTGATTGTTTATGAGGAAAAAATTAGAGTGGATAATTAAATTGTCCACCTTAAACAAAATTCTTAGTTATGTCCCTTTTCTTTTTTGTAAAGTCACCTCTCCGCACAAATGATAAATTCATGGGGGGTGACTCTAAAGTCCAGCATTAGTCATTAATCAATCATGTATCGGACTAATGCTGAACGTTTTGGCTCTTTTATGACTGCAAAGAATTTCATGATTGAAAAAAACAGAAGAAGTGGTCCATTTCATTATCAAGTGGAATACGAAGCTTTTGTTGGCTTTGGGACCAAGTTAGGCTGACTAGAGTCCTTGGAGATGAACCCTTAAAATATCCTTAGATTTGCAATTTTCTTGGGAGGCAAGGATGAAATTTGATAATGGGTTCACCAAAAAGGGGCATGTTGATTTTGCGAGGTAATTTTATAACAATTCACTTGAGGAATTTCACGCTCGCTCCACATGATTGTAGAGTTCCATCGTCTATTATGGTGATACTTAGTATTTGTCACTTTTTAAAAAGATTTAGACATTACTTTAACCAAATACAATTCTTAAATTTGACAAACCGTAATTTTGCACGCGAATGACGCATCTTCATCGGTAATAAATGACTTTTATGTGAATTTTGATGCCCTATGTACTCTACAAAAAAAAAAACTTTGACACCAAAAAAAATGTTTAGTGGTGTAGTGCATTTTTCACCTTGGGTGTGACCTTATGTTACATTTGTGTACCAACTCTTGGGTAAGATTATTGTATTTTGAAAGGTATTAGATATCGTATAGAAGTTACAATGAAGTAAGAGTGAGGTTGACACACAATCGAGCTCAATTGTTTCGAGAGTGAACTAATTTAAATAACCAAAATAAACACAAATTGAAATCAAAGATTAAATCCGAGAGGCCATCCTGAACTTGAATCCAATTGCGCTAGTGGAAAGTAATTTGGCACAATCTCAAGGAGTAGTTTAAGTGGTAATATTGACGAGCTGTAAACTCAAATGTCCTAAGTTTAAATCTTGTTAGTCCTTTGGAGTTAGATCATAAGAAATTTCTCTCCTGAATATCCTAGTTTCGGTGTGAATGACCGGCTTTTGATAGGATTGAAGAAGAGATTAGTCGAGATACGCGTAAGCTAGCTTGGACACTCAGAACCGTCAAAGGAAAATAATAATAATAATAATAATTTGGCATTGCTATCTATTTAAGGATACTCATAGTATTTAATTCGGTAAATATCATAAATGCCCCTCAAACTTTAGTGTCAGTTTTAAATTGGCCCCTGAACATTCAATTGTATCAATTTAACTCTTATACTTTTACATCTGTACCAATCAACTCAGTCCGTCTATTTCAAACGTTAAAACTAACAAGAGATAGGGAAAGTAGCAGGTACTAAGGGCATAATGGATATTATACTCAATGGATCTGGGTATTGACGCCAAACTTCTTCCCCTTTCCCTCCTTCTGTTGCTATGTTGTTGTAATATAA